AAAAACCCTGTGTTCCACCTATTCATCTCTCCCTCCCTTCCCACACCAAACCCCTGGTAACCATCCACTTTGTTGCTGCCTCCATAGTTTTGCTTTTCCAGAATGTCATATAGTTGGAATCGTACAGTATGAAGCCTTTTCAGATTGGATTTTTTCTTAGCAATCTATATTTAAGCTTCCTGCATGTCTTTTTATGGTTTGACAACACTTTTAAAAAAACATTAATTAATTAATTAATTTATTTTTGAGATGGAGTCTCACTCTGTCAACCAGGCTGCAGTGCAATGGCACAATCTTGGCTCACCGCAACCTCTGCCTCCTGGGTTCAAGTGATTCTCCTGTCTCAGCCTCCCGAGCAGCTGAAATTACAGGCACCCACCACTGCACCCAGTATTGTATTTTTAATAGAGACAGGGTTTCGCCATGTTGGCCAAGCTGGTTTCGAACTCCTGACCTCAGGTGATAGGCCCACCTTGGCCTCCCAAAGTGCTGGGATTACAGGTGTGAGCCACTGTGCCCGGCTTTTTTTGTTGTTGTTGAGACAGGGTTTCACCATGTTGGCCAGGCTGGTCTTGAACTCCTGACCTCGTGATCTGCCCACCTTGGCCTCGCAAAGTACTAGGATTACAGGTGTGAGCCACTGCGCCCGGCGTCCGGCCTATTTTTAAATGTTCCTTTTGAGACAGAGTTTCACTCTGTCGCCCAGGCTGGAATGCAGTAGAGCAATCTCGGCTGACTACAACCTCTGCCTCCCAGGTTCAAGTGATTATCATGCCTCAAGAAGTAGCTGGGACTACGGGTGTTTGCCATGAAGCCCAGCTGATTTTTTTGTATTATTAGTAGAAATAGGGTTTCGCTGTAAGGCCGGTATCAAACTCCTGCCTCAAGTGATCCACCCTTCTCAGCCTCCCAAAGTGCTGGGATTGTAAGTGTGAGCCACTGTGCTTGGCTATTTATTTATTTATTTTGAGACAGGGTGTCATTCTGTCACCCAGGCTGGAGTGCAGTGGCACAATCACGGCTCACTGCCGCCTAGACCTCCTGGGCTCGGGCGATCCTCCTACCTCGGTCTCCTGAGTAGCTAGGACTGCAGGCACCCACCACCATGCCTGGCCAATATTTGCATTTTTTGTAGAGATGGGGTTTCACCATGTTGCCTAGGCTGGTTTCAAATTCCTGGGTTCAAGTGATCCACCTGCCTTGGCCTCCCAGAGTGTTGGGATTACAGGCATGAGCCACTGTGCCCAGACAAAATTATTTATTTAATCTCACTCTCTTGCCCAGGCTGGAGTGCAGTGGCACAGTCATGGCTCATTGCAGTCTCAATCTCCTGGGCTCAAGCGATCCTCCTGCTTCAGCATTCTGTGTAGAGCTGGGACCACAGTTGCATGCCACCGCATACATTTTAAACTCTATGTAGAGATGGGGGTTCCACTTGTTGCCCAGGCTAGTCTCAAACTTCTGGGCTCAAACAGTCCTCCCACCTTAGCCTCCCGAAGTGCTGGGATTATTTTCTTAGTGCTGAATAATATCCCGTTATATGAATATACTGAAATTTGTTTATCCATTCACCTACTGAAGGACAGCTTGATTGTTTCCAAGTTTTGGCGTTTATGAATAAAGCTGCTATAAATATCCATGTGCTTGTGTGTGTGTGTGTGTGTGTGTGTGTAGACATCAGTTTTCAACTCACATGGGAGCATGATTGCTGGATTGTGTGGTAGTATATGCTCAGTTTGGTAAATACCTTCCAAATACCTTCCAAAGTGGCTGTACCATTGTGCATTCCCACCAGCAAAGAATGAGAGTTCCTGTTTCTCCACATCCTCGTCAGCATTTGGTGTCATCAGTGTTTTGAATCTTAGCCATTTTAGCAGTTGTGGAGTGGTGTCTTATTATTTTATTTGCATTTGCCTAATAACATATGACATGGAGCATCGTTTCACATGCTTATTTGCTATCCGTATGTCTTCCTTGGTAAGGTGTCTGCTTAGATCTTTCATATTTTTTAAATTAAGTTTTTCTTTTATTGTTGGGTTTTAAAAGTTCTTCATATATTGTGGATACCAGTCCTTCATCAGGTATACCTTTTGCAAATATTTTCTCCATGCTTTGGACTCATGTTTTTTCTTTTCTCTGTCCTTCTTCCTCCCTCCCTGCCTCCCTCTCTCTCTTTCTCTCTTTCCCTCTTTCCTTCTCTCTCTTTCTTTCTCTCTTTCCCTCTTTCTTTCTCTCTTTCTTTCTGGATTCCATCTTGTTGCCCAGGCTGGAGTACAATGGTGTGATCTTGCCTCACTGCAACCTCCACCTCCTGGGTTCAAGCAATTCTCCTGCGGAGGTTCAAGCGATTCTCCTGCCTCAGCCTCCTGAGTAGCTGGGATTACAGGCACCTGCCACCACACCCAGCTAATTTTTGTATTTTTAGTTAAGACAGGATTTTGCCATGTTGGCCAGGCTGGTCTCAAACTCCTGGGCTCAAGTGATCCACCTGCCCTGACCTCCCAAAGTCCTGGAATTACAGGCGTGAGCCACCATGCTCGGCCATGTTTTTATTTTCTTAATAGTGTCTTTTGCAGAGCAGAGTTTTTAATTTTAAAGAAGTACAATTTATCTTTTTTTTTCTTTTGTGGATCATGGTTTTGGTGTTGTATCTATCCCTATGTTTTTAGCTTTTTGGTGACCAGAGAGACAAATCAGTGTTGGTGTGGGCAGTATAAATTGAAAGAGCAGGAGGGCAGGAATTGATCCCTTGACCTTGTCCATAAGCAATAGATTCCAGCTCCTGATATCATGCCTTAGTCGCTGTGGCTATCATACTTCTATGAAACAAAACAACCTCGGAATGCAAAGGCTTGTCATAATAAGCATCTATTTCTCTCTCACATGTCCACAGCTCAGATGGAGTTCAGTTGATCTAGGCTGGGCTCAGGCCTGCAGGTTCATCTAGGTCTGCTCCATCTGTCACTCATCTTCCTTGGACCATGTTCTTTTCAGGGCAAAAGGCTGGAAGGCAAGCCCAGCCCCACAAGCACATCTCAAGCCTCTGCTTGCATCACATCTGCTAACATCCCATTGGCTAAAGCAAGTATCATGGTCAAGTTCAACACTGACGGAGCAGGGAAGTGTGCTCCTCCCATTGGGTTATTATCACATATCATAAGGGCAAATTTCTATCATAAGACCCTGGGCTCTGCTTTCAGGTGCCCAAGACACAAACTAGAAAGCAAGAAAGTAATTAAATGAGCAACTAGGTAAGTTGAAACACTGCTAGATTTATTTTCCACTGTTCTTATATTCAGTTCCTAAGGTCAGAACCCCACACTACTCAGGGGTACAGAATCAAGTTCATGTAGGATTCCATGGGACCCTGGAGGGTGATGTGATATAGAACCTTCAGGGGATGCAATAATATAGAAAGGCATTGTTTGCTTTTCCCTCATTGTCCACTTCCTTTTGTCCTTCTGTATAAAAAAACTAGCTGCCAGGGACTTTCAGCTGAGGCAATATTCAAGAAGCCCCTAGCACTTCGTCTTCTCTGTTTCCTACACAGGGCTCCCACCCTTCCACTGAGAGCTTCCCTCGTAGGATACTAAACACTTCTCAGCAGCCGTATCTCCGGACCAGGATTCCTGCAACAGTAAATACCATCTCAGCAAGTATGATGGCTGCTTGGCCATGGGAAATGTTAGGTCTGGGGGATGTCCCCAGCCCTGGGGAGCTGGAAACTGACCAGCTCTTGTAGCAATGTGGCCTAACAGGAAAGTCAGGATCCCAGATCATGAGAAGCCATCCTGGAAGACCCAGCTCCTTGGAGGCAAAACCCATCCAGCATCTGGAGACCAGTGGAGAAGGCAGAGCAATGCTCCCTCTACTGAAAGATGTTCACGTCCTGACCCTCAGAGCCTGTGAAAATGTCACCTTGCATGTCAAAAGGGGCTTTGCAAAGCTGATTAGGAATCCTGAGATGAAAAGATTATTCAGAATTATCCAGGTAGATCCAAGGGGTTCTTACAAATTAAAGAGGGGAAGAAGACTCAGAGTCAGAGAAGATATGAGGACGAAAGCAAAGTTTGGAGGAATGAATGAAACGGACTGATGAGTGAAGGAATGGGAGCAGCCTCTAGAAGCTGGGAAAGGCAAGGAAACAAATTCTGCCCTAGAGGCTCCAAATGAAATGCAGCCCTGCCAACCCATTCAGTCCCTCTGACTTCTGGAGCAGTAAGATTACACATTCATCCATCCATCCATCCATTCATCCATTCATTCATTCATTTATCTATTGAGACAGAGTCTTGCTCTGTCACCCAGGCTGGAGTGCAGTGGCACAATCTCGGCTCACTGCAACCTCCACCTCCTGGGTTCAAGCAATTCTCATGCCTCAGCCTCCCTAGTAGCTGAGATTACAGGCACCTACCGTCATGCCTGGCTAATTTTTGTATTTTTAGTAAAGACTGGGTTTCAATATGTTGGCCAGGCTGGTCTCGAACTCCTGACCTCAAGTGATCCACCTGCCTCAGTCTCCCAAAGTGCTGGGATTACAGGCATTAGCCATTGTGCCCAGCCCAGTAAGGTTATACGTTTGTGTTGTCTTAAGCTACCAAATGTGTGGTAATTTGTTACAGGAGCAAGAGGAAACTAATACCAGCCAGCAACTATTTTAGGGCAGTTAGAAAATTTCACACATTGAACCCCAATTTTCTCTCCTTTCTCTCTTTCTTTCTTTTGTTTTTGAAACAGGGTCTCACTCTATCACTCAGGCTGGAGTGCAGTGGCACGATCAGAACTTACTGCGGCCTCGACCTCCTGGGCTCAAGCACTCCCGAGCAGCTCGGTCTCCCAAAGCACTAGTGTTACAAGTCAGAGCCACTGCACCCAGTCTGAACCCCACTTGCCTTTGTACTTCTGGTCCCCGGGAGAGTCCTTCACACTTTCTGACTTGTCATACAGCAAGAAGGCACATAGATATTCAGGAATTGGAAGGACAGGAAAACCAACCTTTGGGTAAAGATTTTGGCATTTATATCTTTTATTTAAATATTCATTTCACTATTTTGAAAGTTTCCCATCCAAACCACAGCTGTAACTGAAATCCAACCATTTCAGGAAACAGAAATATCAAGTTGGGGGCTTCCTGAGAATGTCAGATTATGGATTGCTAGAGTCAAAAAGAGATTTTACAGTCCGACCTACCCACTGGACGGATGAGGAAACTGTGGCTGAAGCGAGGGTGGGTGTCTGGGAGTAGGAAGGCAGCCTGGGCCCTGGTGGGTGGTGTTGGAGCCACCTTGCAGCCACCACCTGGGCCCCTGGCCCTGCCCTGGTCCTGCCCATCATGGCTGCTGTTGGTACTGGCTCTCTGTGGCCGTGTAGAAGTCATCCAGCACACTCTGGATGTATTCAAAGGTCGGCCGCTCCTCCGGACGGTTCTTCCAGCAGCGTGTCATGATGCTGTAGAGCTCCTCTGGGCAGTGCTCTGGGCGGGGCATCCGGTATCCACGCTCCAGAGCTCGGATCACTTCAGGGTTTGACATCCCTGAAAAGGAGCCATGGAATTAAAATGGAAGCAGTTGGGAAATGAGATCCCACAGGTGCCAGGCCCTGCGGCCTCGCCAGCAGCCATCACTTCCCACCTCACCTTGCAAGCTGAGCCCCTCCCACTGTGAAAGCCAGAGACTTCCTCCTCCAGCTTCACTTGCAGCTAGGACATAGGCCCGGGACATGGTTTTGGCCAATGGGAGCTGACAGGGAGGTCTCCCGGGAGAGGCCAGGAAAGGTTTTCCTCCCACTTAGAGGACAGACTTTGGAGAACAGACCCTTCGTCTCTTCCTTTGGACTCTGTGAGATACTTATGATACTTGGAGTTGCAATCACCATCTTACCACATGGAGAACATCATCACAGAGACAGGAACCCAGGGTCCTGACTCAGTCATGCTGAGCCGCTGAACTTACGAGTCACCAGTGCCAGAGCGGGAGTAATAGCTTGCTCTGTTTCAGTTACTCTTAGTCTGTCATTTTGTGGCTTGCAGCAGAACACATCCTTCTGGATTTGGCGTCTATAGTGTGTTGCCTGGTTTTGCCTAGTGCACTCTCAGGACAAAACAGTCAGGTGACCAGATTCAGTGTCACCCTATGGGTGGGACCATTTTCTTGTTCAATTTAAGTTTTAATTAGTTATTCATAAGAATAGCTATTCAGTGTCCATGATCCCCAATTTTATATTATTGGTTTCAAACTCCAAACTCGGGAGGCCCAGGTGTGTGGATCACTTGAGATCAGAAGTTCAAGACCAGCCTGGCCAACATAGTTAAACCCCCTCTCTACTAAAAATACAAAAACTAGCCACGTGTGATGGTGCACACTTGTAATCCCAGCGGCTCGGGAGGCTGAGCCAGGACAATCGCTTGAACCCAGGAGGTGGAGGTTGCAATGAGCCGAGATCATGCCAGTATACTCCAGCCTGGGCGACAGAGCAAGACTCCATCTCAAAGAAGTAAATAAATAAAAAGTAAGGTATCAGAAAATAAAGGTGACTGCAATTCTGACCTCTACTGCTGTAAATAAATGAACTCAAGTGCTTCCTTTACTTGTATGTCTCTATACTTAAGTCATCTTAAATTTAAGAGGGTTAAAATGGAGCTCTCCAATTTCTTTCTTTTTTTTTCTTTTTGAGATGGAATCTTGCTCTGTAGCCCAGGCTGGAGTGCAGTGGTGTGATCTTGGCTCACTGCAACCTCCGCCTCCTGGGTTCTGGTTCAAGCAATTCTCCTACCTCAGCCTCCCAAGTAGCTGGGATTACAGGCACAAGCCACCATGCCCAGCTAATTTTGTTTTTGTTTTTGTTTTTGTTTTAGTAGAGACAGGGTTTCACCATGTTGGCCAGTCTGGTCTTGAACTCCTGACCTTGTGATCCACCAGCCTTGGGCTCCCAAAGTGCTGGGATTATAGGCATGAGCCACTGTGCCCTGCCAGAGCTCCCCAGATTCTATCTCTAGACCATCACCCATCCTGTGGTACAAAGCCAGGGTAATCATCCTTGATTCTCTCTCCCTCACCTCCTAAGTCAACAAGTCAGATCTTTCCTTCTTTTGAAACGTAGCACCAGTTCATCAATGTATGCCTGTCACAAATCCACCACCCTATGCCTGGGCCACTGCTGTGGCCTCCTCATGGGCTGCCACCCTGTTCCCCTTCCTTCCCATTCACGCTTCACACTGAGCTAAAGCATCACTTAAAAATGGAAATCAACAGCCCAGCAACATAGCAACACCTTGTCTCTCAAACAATTAAAAAAATTAGCTGGGCGTGGTGGTGTGTGTGTGTGTGTGTGTGTGTAATCCCAGCATTTTGGGAGGCCAAGGCTGGAGGATTGTTTGAGCCTGGAAGTTTGAGACCAGGCTGGGCAACATAGTGAGACCAAGTCTTTACAAAAAATACATATAAAACAAAGAGCCAGGAATGGTGGCTTGTGCCAGTGGTCCCAGATACTCGGGAGGCTGAAGAGGGAGGATCACTTGAGCCTAGGAAGTTGAGGCTGCAGTGAGCTATGACTGCACTGCTGCACTCCAGCCTGGGCGACAGAGCGAGACCTTGTCTGAAAAAGAAAGAAAGAAAAAAAAGCGTGGAGAAAGGACAAGATCTGATTTACAGTTTGTAATTATCCTTCTGGCTGCAAGTGGAGAATAGGCTGTAGGATGAGTGGGGAGAAAGCAGTGAGACTGACGAGGAGGCCGCTGCGCCATCCATGGGAGACAATGCTGGCCTGGATGCAGTGGAGACTGCGGGGTTCGAAGTGGTGAGACTTGGGATATGTTTTGGAGTCAAGTAGCCAAAACCTTGTGACTGCTCAGATGTCATAGGGGTGAGGCCGGGCATGGTGGCTCACACCTGTAATCCCAGCACTTTGGGAGGCCGAGGCAGGTGGATCACCTGAGGTCAGGAGTTAGAGACCAGCCTGGCCAACATGGTGAAACCCTGTCTCTACTAAAAATACAAAAATTGGCTGGGCATGGTGGTGGGCACCTGTAATCCCAGTTACTCAGGAGGCTGAGGCAGGAGAATCGTTTGAACCCAGGAGGCAGAGGTTGCAGTGAGCTGAGATCGTGCCATTGCACTCTAGCCTGGGCAACAAGAGCGAGACTCTGTCTCAAAAAAAAAAAAAAAAAAAAGTAATAGGGATGAGAGAGAAGGAAGGGCCAAGGAAGCCCCCAGATTTCAAGCTTAAGACACTGAATGGGCGGCGATGCCTTTAACTAAGACGGGAAAGGTGATGGAAAGTTGTGGGTGAGGATCAAGAGCTCAATTTGAATGGGCACATTGATGAGATGAACCCATTGCCAGGCTGGGCCCTGAAAGCAGCCCCGAGCTGATGCCCCTTCCCTACCTGGGTAAGGGATCCGGCCATAGGTGACGATCTCCATCAGCAGGACACCAAAGGACCAGACGTCTGACTTGATGGTGAAGGAGCCAAAGTTGATGGCCTCAGGAGCTGTCCATTTGATGGGGAACTTGGCCCCTGTAGGGTGGAACAGACCAGAGTCAGGGGAAGGCTGGGGAGCAGTGAGGGTTGGGACTCTGCTAAGGTCGGGGACAGGCAAGGGCAACAGCTGCCAACATCTGCCCCTGCAGAACTGCAATTTCCCTGTTAGGTGGCCTCCCTGTGGAAGCAAGGGACATCCATCCTGAGGACAGATGGCCAGACAAGGAGGAGTGGGCAGGGGGATCTGGGGTGTGGCGTGGAAGTTCACTCTCTAGAGGCCTCCTCGTTGATCAGTTGATACCCCAGGAAACTACAACTCCAAAGAGTAGAATCCCAGAGGTCACAGATCTTTGGGGACAGAAGGACTTCAGGGGATCTTGAGTCCAGGTTGTAGTCAATGCCTCAGTCTTCTGACCTGGGGCAATAGGGGAAGGAGGATTCTGACTCTCAGCCCATGAGGTTCCCACCAGTCACTGTGTATTCCCTTCCCTCCTCCCACATAGTCTGATATGGGTTTAGTTAGCCTTTTCAATTTTTACCCAACAGAGTAAGGGTCTTACTCTGTTGCCCAGGCTGGAGCACAGTGGCACAATCATAGGTCACTGCAGCCTTGAACTCCTGGCCTCAAGCTATCCTCCTGCCTCAGCCTTTCAAGCAGCTGGGGCTAGAGGTGTGCACCACTATGCCCAGCTAATTTAAAAACAAAAACAAACAAACAAAATCTTGGCCAGGCACAGTGGGTCATGACAAGGCTTCCTTTTTTATAGAAAAGGAATATGAAGGGCTGGGCATGCTGGCTCTTGCCTGTAATCCCAGCACCTTGGGAGACCGAGGTGGGTGTAGTTTCAGGTACTCAGGAGGCTGAGGCTGGAGAATTGCTTGAGCCCAGGAGTCAGAGGCTGCAGTGAGCTATGATCATACTCCTCCACTACAGCCTGGGTGACAGAGCAAGCACCTGTCTCTTCAAAAAATAAATAGGCCTGGTGTGGTGGCTCATGCCTGTAATCCCAGCACTTTGGGAGGCCCAAGCAGGTGGATCACTTGAGGTCAGGAGTTTGAGACCACCCTGGCCAACATGGTGAAACCCCCTCTCTACTAGAAATAAAAACTAGCCAGGCATAATGGAGTGTGATTATGATCCCACCTGCTCAGGAGACTGAGGCAGGACAATCGCTTGAACCCAGGAGGTGGAGTTTGCAGTGAGCCGAGATCAAGCCAAAGCATTCCAGCCTGGGAAACAGAGCAAGACCCTGTCTCAAAAAAATAAATAAATAAAAATTAAGCTAGCAGAAAATAAAGGTGACTGCGATTCTGACCTCTATGCTATAAATAAATTTTGCCTGTTTCTTTCTTTAACAGCTTTATTGAGCTAGAATTCACAGACCATACATTTCACCCATTTAAAGTGCATAATTCCATGGCTTTTAGAATAGTCATGAAGTTGTGGATTTCAGAATATTTTCATCACATTTCCCTGCAAAAAACCCACAGAAGTCACTCCCCATTTCTCTCGATTCCCCACCACCAGCTGTAGGCAGCACGCATCGACTTTCTCTCTCTTTAGCTTTGTCTGTTTTGGGCTGGGCGTGGTGGCTCACGCCTGTAATCCTAGCACTTTGGGAGGCTTGAGGTCAGGAGTTTGAGCCAGCCTGGCCAACATGGTGAAACCTCGTCTCTACTAAAAATACAAAAATTAGCTAGGCATGGTGGTATGTGCCTGTAATCCCAACTACTCAGGACGTTGAGGCACAAGAATTGCTTGAACCTGGGAGGCAGAGGTTGTAGTGAGCTGAGATCATGCTAATACACTCCAACCTGGGTGACAGATCAAGAGTACGTCTCAAAAAAGAAAAAGGTGGCCTGTTCTGGACATTTCACAGAAGGGGAATTAAACAGTATGTGGTCTTCGTGTTGGCTTTCCCTTAACATGATGTTTTCAAGGGTCATCTGTGTGCTACACTGACATAGCATGTCATTCTATTTTGTGGCCAAATAATATTCCATTGTATGGATATACCACATTTTGTTTATCTGTTCATCAGTCTGTGGACATTAAGAGGGTTGTTTCCATCTTTTGGCTATTAGGAAGAATGCTTCCATGAACGTCCATATATAAGTTTTGTCTCTTTGAATTTTACAAAAATGAAACCAATTGGCATCTACTCTTTTTTGGTCTAATTTCTTTCATTTTGATATACCTGTGAGAGTTACCCATTTTGGTGCATTTAGCATTGGTTTGTGCTTTTTTTTTTTTTTTTTTGAGGTGCCAGGCTAATTTTTATATTTTTAGTAGAGACAGGGTTTCACTATGTTGGTCAGGTTAGTCTGGAACTCCTGACCTCATGATCCGCCTGCCTTGACCTCCCAAAGTGTTGGGATTACAGGCGTGAGCCACCGTGCCCAGCCTTTTTTTTTTTCTTTTAAGACAAGGTCTTGCTCTGTCCACCAGGCTGGGTACGGTGGCACAATCATGGCTTACTGCAGCCTCAACTTTCTAGACTCAAGTAATTCTCTCACCCTAACCTCCTGAGTAGCTGTGACTATAGGCATGTGCCACCATGCCTGGTGAATTTTTTAAATTTTTGCAGAGACTAGGTCTCCTGTGTTGCCCAGGCTGGTCTTGAGCTCCTGGGCTCAAGCAATCCTCCTGCCTCAGCCTCCTAAAGTGCTGGTTTTACAGGCATGAGTCACTGAGCCTGGCTGGTTTGTGCTTTTGCATCACTGCGTGGTATTATATTCTGTGAATAAACCACAATGTATACATCCATCCTCCTGCTTATGGACATTTGGATATCAGCCCTATTTTTGTCTGTTATGCACAAAGCTGCTCTTACCCTTAATTTCAACATATATTGCCTAACTCCCTCCAAAATCTATCAGTACTTCTCCATCTGATCTAAAATCTCCTTCTCAAAGTCTCTGGGTGAGACTCTGAAGTTCAGGACATTATCCAGAAGTATCCACCAAGCTCAAGAATGCACAGCTAAGACTGGGGCAGACCCTTGCATTTTGTCAATCACTCTCACACATATCAACTCAACACTCACAACCATCCAAATGGGCAACGTGGGCCTGCTTGGCAGCGTTCCCTACCTTCCCGAGCCGTGTACTCATTGTCCTCTATGATCCGGGCCAGGCCAAAGTCGGCAATCTTACACACCAGGGATGCAGAGACCAAGATGTTGGCGGCTCGGAGGTCTCGGTGGATGTAGTTCCTCTGCTCAATGAAGGCCATGCCTTCTGCAATCTGCAACCCAAACAGAGACACTTTTGTCCTCAGACCTGGCCTACGCCAAGAGGGCCCCACCCGAAAGCAGCAGAGAGGTGTTCAAGTGGAATACAATGGGACATGTCTGCACCAGCCCTCACTCTTTTGTTGGGAAGGCCCCAGGGCTCAGGCTGGCATTGAGGTTGGGGGGATCCCTAAGGCCTGGGTCACTTTGGGGGATTCTCTAGAGTTCCAAGACTTCCAGAGAGCACTTTGAAGTGTTCTCAAGGAAAAAGCAATGGGACTATTTCTCCAGGACCTATTCCTCCAGGAAAACACACACACACACACACACACACACACACACACACACACACACAGACACACAAACTCTAGGACACTATGAAGAGCTTTCATCTTCAACCCTCTTTCTGGGGACAATCTAGGCTCATGTTATATTCTGCTATACCTCTTATATCTTTCTCATGCCCCAGCCCTGGGTAGGGAAAATTCACTTATTTACTCAACAGAAATCTACTGAGTGTCTTGCGGGTGCCAGACATGTTGCTTGAACAGGTGGTGAGCCAGGCAAAACCGCTGCAGGTAGAAAGTTCCATAAAGAAAAGATTAAACAGGCCGGGCGTGGTGGCTTACACCTGTAATCCCAGCACTTTGGGAGGACGAAGTAGGTAGATCACTTGAGGCCAGGAGTTCAAGACCAGCCTGGCTAATATGGCGAAACCCTGTCTCTACTAAAAATACAAAAGGAAGATGAGCGTAGTGGTGCATGTCTCTAAGCCCAGCTGCTCAGGAGGTGGAGGCCCGAGAACTGCTTGAACCTGGGAGGCAGAGGCTGCAGTGAGCCAAGATCATGCCACTGCGGCTTGGGTGACACAGCAAGACTCTGTCTCAAAAAAGAAACAAAAGATAAAACAGGGTAACAAAATATGACCCGTAGAGGGCTTTTTCAGATTGGGTGTTCAGGGAAACCTGCTTTGAGGGGGTGAGATTTTAGCAAAGATAGGAATGATGATAATAATAAGTGTGTCACATAGGAATATTCTAGGCAGAGAGAACATCAGGTGCAAAGGTGTAGAGGTAGGAAAGAGCCTGGGTATTCATGGAACAGCACAGAGGCCAGTGTGACCAGCAGAAGATGCCACAGAGAGAGTGGGGAAAGTTGAAGCTGAAAGGGAGACCGCAATCATGAACAGCCTTGGCCAGGACAGGAGGGTGAATTTTATTCTGGGCATAATGGGGAGATATTAGAGGCCTTTGAGCAGGAGTGTGACATGTTCTGATGTACATTTAAAGATCATCATGGTTGCTGAGTGAAACAGACTACATGGAGGATTCTTATTCACACCGGGGGTCCTAGAAGTCTTTGATGAAAACACAGGGATTATATCTTACAGTCATTTTTACTTACAAGGGTTTGGACAAAAGAGGTTGAAGATGAACCCTCAGATGCCCAGAAAGCAGCACTTTTGGCTTACAAACTGGGCTACGAGCAATTTGAGGCAGGAATGATCATTCATGATCTCTGTTTTACAGACATGGAAACTCTCGTTCCAGTTCACACCACCAGAAACCTTCTGAATGTCAGGTTCAAGCCAGTCTGAGGATTCCCAATCTAGTGCTTCCTGCTGCCTCTAAATAACTCAGCACTCCAGTGCTCCAGCGGACTGCAGCTGGGTGCAGTTTGATGAAATTACTCGGGAAGCGAGAGCGCCTGACTAGACAGAACAATCAAAGCACCACCAGCTGGCCTCCCAACGTCTGAGGCAAGTGAGTGACGCACTTGCAGGGAGTGGGCAGCAGGGGGCACCCGAGGCAGGTAGAACGGATATCCAGGCTTTTTTTTTTTTTTTTTTTTTTGAGACTGGCTCTTGCTCTGTCACCTAGGTTGGAGTGCAGTGGTGGGATCACAGCTCACTGCAACCTCTGCCTCCTGGGCCCCTGTGTTACCCAGGCTGGGCTCAAACGGTCCTCTCGCCTCAGCCTCCCAAAGCGCTGGGATTACAGGCCTGAGCCGCCATGCCTAGGGGAGACCCAGACTTTTCAATAAAAGCTTGGAGGAGACTCTGATTTTGTTTGGAGTAGTAGGGGGTAGGGATGAGATACGGATGAAGTTGCCGGGAGGGAGTGAGACAGCATCTTGGTCCTGGGAGTGTGGGAAATTTATGAGTCCTTAGATGAACAGTTAACAAACATCATAGCTTGTTTACAAGATGATACTTAAACACTTAAGTGACATTTACCGTGTGCTTTGGAGGAGGCACTTTTGCTGTCAGCCCCCTTTCCACAGCTAAGAAAACTGAAGCCCAGAGAAATAGGTAAGCGGCCCCAGCTTACACAGCTTGCAAGTTGTGGAGCCCAGGCTGGAGCTCCAAAAGCGCTGCCTGGGGTCCGCGCACTTGCCTGTTACTCTGCCCAGCCTTTTTGCCTGGCTTTTCTTCTGGAACAAGCACTAATGCCAGGAGTTACCGCTGTTTGATCCCCACTGGCAGATGCTCATACTACTGATTTTCACAGGAGCTCAATGGGCCGGGGCTGACACCCCACTCAGGAGACAGGAGAGGGTTTTGGCTAAATGGCTCTGGAGCTGGATCAGCTCAGCTTGCGTGCTGCAGCTCTGTGATGTCAAGCAAATTGTGTCATCTCTCTGTACCTCACTTTCTTCTCTGTAATAGCACCTGGTTCCAAGGGGTCATGTGAAGATTAATCCCCTAAGCCTACATCAAGGGCTTAGTGGAGTGTCTGGCACATAGTGAAGTATATATTTCAATAGTGGCTCCTGGTGCTCTCAGTGGGTGCAAGTGGCACTCAGAGAGGTTAAGCTACTTGCTCGAAGCTACACAGGCAGAGCTGAGATCAGAACAAAACTCTATGTGACTCCTAAGCCCAGATGCTCGTAGTGCTGCCTCTCAAGGGTTTGCTGACTGAATGAGTAACCAGTAGGTTTATTGAGCCCAGGTGTCAGCACTGGGGGTTGATAAGGTGGTGAGATTTTATGATCCCCAGACAGGATGCCATGAGGTTGGGCATTGGAACTGGGGTTTGCTTCCAAGAGTATCAGGGTGTCATAGCATCAGACCTGGAAAGATCTGCAGAGCTCTTCAAAATGAATCCTATGGATGCTTCAAGGTTATATGGGGGCGGGGGAGACAAAAGAAAGGCCACAGATAAGCCCCCACCCTGCGTTGGTCAGAGCAGCTCTGTTTTGACTTGTTTGTATATACGCAGCTACTGCATACCAGTTGAATTGACCAACAAACCAAAAAAAAAAAAAAAAAATTCAGCCAATTACAAAATAACACCAGTAATACAGTGCCTTGACTGTTATTTAACATATTGTTTGAGCCATGTTATGTGACCTCATCTTTGTCATTTAATATGAAAATGGGCCAGTGCAGTGGCTCATGCCTGTAATCCCAGCACTCTGGGAGGAGAAGGCTGGTGGATCGCCTGAGGTCAGGAGTTTGAGTCCAGCCTGGCCAACATGGTGAAACACTGTCTCTACTAAAAATACAAAAAAAAATTAGCCAGGCATGGTGGCACGTGCCTGTAGTCCCAGCTACTCGGGAGCCTGAGACAATAATTGCTTGAACCTGGGCAGCGGAGGGTGCAGTGAGCTGAGATGGCGCCACAGCACTCCAGCCTGGGCAACGGAGTGAGACTCCACCTCAAAAACAACAACCACAACGACAACAAAACAATGAGGCCGCCCCCTTCTCTAACTGTTTTGTACAGAGCTGCTTGTCTGTACTGTTTTGCTCTGAGCTGACGCTGCACTGAGTATTTCCCCAGCAGAGGTTATCCTCATCCCATTCTAGGGATTATTACCCCAAATTATAAAATGGCCTGCAGCCTCATCCATAAAATGGGTATAATGGAAACGGTTACCTGGGATAGGATTATTGTGAGGATTAGGGTGCTAGGAGCCATGAAGGCTCAGAACAGCGCCTGGTTCCTCGTCAGCTCTGTGTAAGCATAAAATGAGTTGGGAATACTGCTCCTAGAATGACTGCTTCTCTTTTTACAACTCTTGCTGTGGTTCGTGCTGCTGCTCTTGCTGCTATACTCGTGCAGTTAGGGTTGGTACTGTTACTACGACAATTGTTACTTATTTTCGCAATGCTGCTGATACTACCACTACGTCCTCACTTCAGCTGCTGTTATTACTGCTGGTTACTCACGACTCTCAGCACTGCTTTTGCCTCCGCCCGGGCCCAAGGCCTCAGATGCTCATGCACACCTGTTTGGAGGAGGCCAGGCTGATGGGCCAAGCCCAGGCTGCAGGACAAGGAGAGGTGACTTCCTTGCTCCTATGCATCCTGGCACTGCATCCGGAGAGTCTGAGCACTGTGGGTGGTCAGTCAGCTTCATTTCACCCCAAGCTCACCCTGCCCAGTCTTGGAAAGACAGGAGGCTGTTAGGGCAATGTTGGGGCAGCATCCGGCAGCCCCCAGGGAAACTGGGACCTCCGCTACTCACCGGCTTGATGGTAGATGTGGGATCCGGCACGTACACAGGGCAGTGCGGGTTGGCGCTGGGTTCAGTTTTTGAGAATGTATTGTCTCCGGCCCGGAGGAACTTGGACTTCACGCACCCCATCCTGCAACAGACAGAAGGGAGGTGAGCCCCGGTTACCCAGAGCCCCATGCAGGGAAGTTTCTGATGCTGGCGTTCTGTGTCCCCTGCCCCCACGCTGGCTCCCACTGGCTGTCCCACTCTTAACTCCCCTGCCAGCTCCATGCACCCCCATCCTCCCCACATGGAGCCCACTCATCCTTGCCACCTCTGGGCTTCCCCATGTCCATGTGCCACAGCACTGGCCCAGAGCTGACAAGCTGTCATTGTCATGGGTACCAAGGACCAGCATGATGGGACTTTATTCAGAGGATGGCATGAGGTTAATAGAAATGTAACAGGTGGAGCTATTGGGGGGCAGAGTGGGGAGCGGGTGGTGGGCACTGCCAGCTCTCAGGGCAGAAAGCCTCACCGATCCTCGGCTCCTCCACCCCACCAGCACCTCACTGACTGCTTTCCTGCACCCTAGCAACCTCTCAGGTCCTCAACGGCAAAATGGGGACAATAATAAAATCTACGGTGGAGAAATACTCCAGCGCAGTGTCAGGCTCAGAGTAAACAGTACAGAAAAACTATAGTATCGTCAGATGATAAATTGCCATTTTTATATTAAATGATAAGACGAGGTCACATAACATGGCTCAAACAATCTAGTTTAATAATAGTCAAGGCACTGTATTCCTGGTATCATTTTATAAATGGCTTATAACTCCCTCCCTCCCTCCCTCTCTTCCTGCCTTCCTTTTCTCCTTCCCCCTCCTCCCCTTCTTCCTGTTCCTCCCCTCTCCTCCTCATTCCTCCTCCTCCTCTTCTTCTTCTTCCTCCTCCTCCTCCTCCGCCTTTCTCTCTGTCTCTCTCTGATTTATGTGATCATTCAGTCACCCATTTATACAGCCAACATTTACTGGGCATTTTCTAAACTGTGAACAAGAGAAGCAAGCTCATGCCCTCAGGAACTCAACTGCAGCTGAATGGGAGACACGGACAATAAACAGGTCAACGAACAAATAGCAGGACAAACTGAGTTAGTGAAAAGTGTGAGGACAATCGGAGAGGG